GGGGGTATGAATACATTTGATGACTGCTCGGTAAAAAACAAGTTGGTTTCAAAGATGTGTGATTTGATGCATCCAGGGACCCAGATTTAGCAGCTTTTTACCAGCCAAAACAGGTGGCTGCAAATAACAATACTTCAATCAGGAGAGACGATTTTGATGTAAGAATAGATGTGTGTTGCCAGGAATACACAAATGAATGTAATTGAGTTTTGGCGATTAGGCCCCGTTGTGCGGGAGTATAATTCGGGAGGGGCGAACCAATCCGATGAAACGCCCCGGGGTCTATACACTGGTGGTGGTGAATGGATGGTTGAGGTCGGCCTGAAGGGGAGGGGCTTAGCTTGACCCTGGTGGTGGTGAATGGATAGTTGGGGTCGGTCTGAAGGGGAGTGGCTTAGCTTGACCCTGGTGGTGGTGAATGGATAGTTGGGGTCGGTCTGAAGGGGAGGGGCTTAGCTTGACCCTGGTGGTGGTGAATGGATGGTTGGGGAGGGGCTTAGCTTGACCCTGGTGGTGGTGAATGGATAGTTGGGGTCGGTCTGAAGGGGAGTGGCTTAGCTTGACCCTGGTGGTGGTGAATGGATAGTTGGGTTCGGTCTGAAGGGGAGTGGCTTAGATTGACCCTGGTGGTGGTGAATGGATAGTTGGGGTCGGTCTGAAGGGGAGGGGCTTAGCTTGACCCTGGTGGTGGTGAATGGATAGTTGGGGTCGGTCTGAAGGGGAGTGGCTTAGCTTGACCCTGGTGGTGGTGAATGGATAGTTAGGTTCAGTCTGAAGGGGAGTGGCTTAGCTTGACCCTGGTGGTGGTGAATGGATAGTTGGGGTTCGGTCTGAAGGGGAGGGGCTTAGCTTGACCCTGGCGGTGGTACCTATAGCTGGGGTCGGTCTGAAGGGGAGTGGCTTAGCTTGACCCTGGTGGTGGTGAATGGATAGTTGGGGTCGGTCTGAAGGGGAGTGGCTTAGCTTGACCCTGGTGGTGGTGAATGGATAGTTGGGGTCGGTCTGAAGGGGAGTGGCTTAGCTTGACCCTGGTGGTGGTGAATGGATAGTTGGGTTCGGTCTGAAGGGGAGGGGCTTAGCTTGACCCTGGATTCAGAGGGACAGGAGGTGAAAAGGGGTGGAGGAGGGTTGCGTCGAGTCACCTGAAATGACAGCTGTCAGAGGGAAGAGCCGATTTAAAAGAGTTAGCGGAGCGCTATGATAGGCTTGTGAGAATAGAGCGAAGTGATTGGTTAAGCTGGGGAGTGACGCCCCCGATCACTTATTGAGAGGAGAGAGAGAGTAGTAACATGGAAATAGTAAATGAATGAGTAAAGACGGTCTTCCTGGTTGAACTTGCACTGAGCTTCATTACTGAGTTACTGCAAATTCCCTAGCTGTTTGCAGGAGGAAAGAAAAGGTACAGCATCAGTCTGAAACTCTTATTTATTTATTGTGTCTATTGTTTACTGCAGTGAGAGTCGCCAAAGAAATGTCGTTATACTTTGTATGATGACAATATAGATATATTATATTATATTTTAAACTCCTGATAATGCTGCTACTGAAGTTGATCAAATAATGAACCGTAAACTACAAAGCCCACGCTAACGTCTTAAAATATTTTGTTTATCTGACTCTGAATCGGAGATATGATTAAATTCGTAAAAGCAAAAATCATATAGTGATCTCTTACTCTTGGTGTTTCTGTTTGATAAATGATTGAGTTATGTTGAATGATTTCCCACAAAAGAAGGCAGCTAAGAGTGACTTTAGTTAACCTTAAGTCTATTTTATTAATAAATACAAAAACAAGTTAGCAGCTTTTTGGTTTTGGCTCAGCTGTTTCAACACTGGGTCGTTAGCCTTCCTATTTAACACTGATCGGTACACAAAAACAAGTTTCTCCAAAGATTTGAGGCGAGACATTTCATGTATTTGTTTTTTCTGTTGATGTTTTATTTGTAGGTATGAAGGTGAATTTGTGCAGGGTAAATTTCAAGGCGCCGGCGTCTTCACGTGCTTCGACGGGATGAGGTTCGAGGGCGAGTTTAAAAGCGGCTGTGTGGACGGATACGGTAAGAAGTCACTACTCAATTATTTATTTTACACTTGTGTGTTGTATGTTTGTATTTGTAAATTGAGACTTTAGCCGCTTTCACACCAAGTAGTATGCCGTACTTAGTTCCCAGCACTTAGTGCCAGCACTTAGCGCCAGCACTACCGCCATGGAACTAAAGAGCCGATCGCGTTCACACCGGAATAAGTTCCTGAGAGAAGAGTCCCCGGCCGGAAGTCCCCGGAGTTGGGGACTGGCTTCAGTAGAAGCTGCTGGGACTCCCAGCAGCTTCTGCTGAAGCCTTCCGAGTAAATCGCCGGAACGCCGACACCTCCTCATCTCCATGTTTTCTTTTGTGTTGCCATAAGTTATTCTCTCTCTGTTGGTGCGCAGGGCTAATGCTAATGCTAATAATGCTAATGCCAGCAAATACAATGGCGGCTTCACAAAACTTGTCAGAGTTTTTGCGGGCGTGGTTTGCAATTCGCCCAGCCAATCAGAAATTGGAACTTTTTTCTCCCCAGGAAAGAACCACCTCTCTAGCAGGCACTAAAAATGGGGGTAAAAGTTCTCATGAACTAAGTNTTCTAGAAAAAAAGTCTAATTTGAGATGCATTGTGGGACATGTAGTTTATGGGCAACGTGCTTCTGTAAATCATCATGTAACTGTATAATAAACATATAATATTCTTTGCAATGGGGCCACAGAAAATGAATTCATGGGCCGGATTTGGCCTTACATTTTCCGCCACAGATTTGGGGAAATTGGTCCGTGTGCAAAGCATTGTGGGGATTTGAAGGACGCGAAGTCTACCCATGTGCAGCCTCGAAATTACCCCCAAACAAAGGACGCGGCCTCGGTGGAATTCCAAGTATGCTGGAGATTGGAACAGTCCTTCGGCGGCACTCGATGACGTAGTATCCTTGAAATATTGGCTTGGAAGCCAGAATCCTCGAGATTGAGAAACGGCCAGAATGTTCAGTTTACAAGTGAGATCCTGGTCAGTTGTTTTCCCCTATTTCCTATCTTTATGCTAAGCTAAGCTAAAGAGCTGCTTGATAAGGCTTCTAAAAATACCAACCTTCTCATCTAATTCACAATCATATGGGTATATCCCAAACAATTTAAAATTCTGTAAGATCATTATTATATTTGTTTCCAACGAGACTCCTTAAGAAAACATATAGTTCACTGTAGTGTTTTAAATCCTGACCTGGACGTGCTCTACAGTGTTGACCTCATTCTTCCTCCCACGACAGGCATCTGATTCTATATCAACACTGACCACGCCCCCTGGAGAGAGGATCCTAACCAATACAAAAAACATTACATAAGTCAGTCAGACCTCAGACATCTTTATGCATGAATAATAAACATTTATCCACCCTGAAATACACAGACACACACAAAGCAGTGACAGCATGTCTGAAGATAAGATGAAAGATTATTGATTCCTGTGAAGAAGACGTTCTGCAGGTAAGGCATGTGATGCAAAGCAATATAAATAGAACATCAGCAGCTATAGGGGGTTAAAAACCTAGTGTGTAGTCGAAAGTGGTATTTTCCATCAAAACCTTTCAATCCTGCTTTCTTCATCTCAGAGACATATGGAGAACTAGACCATGTATTTCTCCTGAACATCTCGAAGCATGTATCCACCTTTAAAATGTGCTGATAAGAAAAGTGCGCTTCTGGCATCGGCCAACATACGTGTCCCGTCTCATTCAAAACTTCTTCTTGGATTTTGACTCGGGCTAGGAGACAGAACCTTGCTGCACACTGAGATCCTTGAATGCATCTTCCTTTGCTGTTCTAAAGTCCAGATTCAAAAAGGGGATAGATCCTTTGTAGTCAATGCAAACGTGGTATCGTCTTTTTTACAGTTAATCAAATTTTAAAGAATTTCTACGATTTCAGTTTCATAACATTTTAGTTTGCTTTACTCTCTGTATTCTGTTTTTAAATGGTTTGGCACATTGTAACTGTGTATTTTCAAATGGTTTGGGTTATTTTGAAAGGTGCTATATAAATACATTTAATTCAAGTTATTACCTGGTAGGATGTAGTGTAACATCTTTGATGCACTTCCTCTGTGGAGAAACTGTGTTAAAGAGCGTGGTCTGCTGCACCATCAGCCCGGCATCCAACAATCCAAAACCATACCTGGAACAAGAAGGGAACATAAAAGCATATGGGTTTGTTTATACAATCAGAAAAAAAATCCTTATATCCCCACACACATGTGATCTGGAGGCTTTTACTGTATACGTGGGCGGCTGAATGTGCTAATGGCTCCGACATGAGGAAGCAACAAGTCATTGAGGAAGATGATGTTGTCCTCTGACATGATCGCTCCCCTCTCTCTCCGGGGCTGAGGGCTGCTGTGTGTACCGCCTGTAATTGCCCGGAGGATGGATTCCGAACAATGTGCCATCTCACGGACTGTAATCAAGCCTCATTATTCATTCTTTACCACCCCAATCTGGGTGCTGGAGACACAATGGGCGACCCTTAAGCGGCGTCGCTGCCTGGTGACTCTGTGACCGCTGCCTACACTCTCTTCTCCACTTTACCAGCCATCTCTTTACGTCTCTATTGAATCATCCGCTCTCATGTTTCCTCTTTGCCCTCTTCTTCCGCAGAGCAGCCTGCTATTCAGTGTTCTTTCCTCTTTAAAATCTCCTTCTCTCTCCTCCTTTAAACCTGCATTTCTTGCATCAGAACTCTCCTCCTCATAAGTCTTAATTCTCCCTCACATATTTAATTTTCTCTCTTTCACTTCCCTCTTGTTAAAATCACAGTCCTCAGGCAGAAGGGCCGTAACAACCTTCATTCTCCCCAACCCCTCCTCTAGGAAAATCCAGAGGGGGTGACAAAGAGCTAATTTCTGCCATTATTACCATACAGACCTTATGCCGTTAATCTGCAATAAGTGAAATTCATTATCCTGATGACGGGGTCTCCGGGAGCAGGAGAAAGAGAGAGACAGACAGGAGACAGGAGCGAGCTGATCAATAACTCAATCTGCCGCCCGGCATGGGGCTCCGTCTCCTCCGCTCAGACTGTCAGTGTGTCTGAGGAGGGGGGGCATGCAGCAGGGCCCACAGCGTCCTCGTCCTAACAGCACGTCGCACGATCAATGTACACAATCTAATCAGCCAGTATCACCACCAATGACTTTTAGCATGTAGGGCCCCGGCATAATAGCATTAGGCAGACGGGTGTGTGGGGTTAAGGTGCGCGGCTGAAGTTCAAGGTCATTCAGGGGGTCAGAGAAAGCTGTGAAGAGTCGGAGCAAAACACAACGACTAGAGCTGAATGCAGAAGACTAGAGGAGAGAGGAATCGACTTGGACCCTAATGAGAAGTAAAGAACGTTAACATACTGTATATTTGTTTTGCTCTTCAAAATGCGATTAAATGATTGGAGGTGTTTTTGTGTAGTAGTCAATGTTTAATAGAAGCCATTACAAATCGACTGATCTGTGATCCTGAATGCTAAACCATATTTAAAAACGCATTAAAAACATCTTAATGTGGCTGGTTAAACAGCTATGACAAAACCAAAAAAAACGTCTTTGAACCCACTTCAGCGCAGGAATAAAATTAAATTTTGTAAAAATTAAATTAAACCATAAATTAAATGGGGCCTAATATGCTAATTATGTTTAATATTTTCATTTTGTGCCTCTACTGTGAAATGTTTACACAATTTAATGTTCAAAAAGCTATACATTTGTTCATACTGTGCTACAGCACCTCTTTTCACCCTCTGTCTGAAACCAGAGCCCAGTCTGCTCTGATTGGTTAGCTGGCCGGCTCTGTTTTGATTGGTCAACTGCTCATAGATAAGCCTATCATGCACATGTGTCGAAGCACTTGCCAATATAAGCGTGAGTGTAACAAAGTGATGTCACAATCTTATGGAAGAAAACAAAGGATTCCAATGGAGAGAACTTTGAGATGTTAGCCGTAACACAACAGACTCCTAAATGGTGGTAAAGTTTGGTGGTGTTTGATTTATAATCCTCATTGGACCCTGACTCCAGCTGCTTAAAGTAGAGATAGTCCGTTTATTGTGTGGGGAGATTCTTATGTAGTAACTCTAGTTAATATCTTGGATGCAGTGGAAACACTAATATACTTTAATTTCTGGATATGGATACCTAAAATGGATAAGTTTAATAATAACACCAGCAATAACAATAGATCATGTAAGATATTTCCCAGTGTGGGGAGAGCTGATACCCTGACTTCTCATAAAACAGGAACAGTTGGTGACCGGGGCCCGCGACCCTGCTCCCTTTTAGTGATTAAATATACCCTCCCCACCCTGTACCCCTTAGCGAGAGCTGTGCACCTATTAAATCCTACAGCTCCCGCTGATCGATCGGGCTTGCCCCAGCTCCACGGCCATAAACCCACAGACATATATCTGATAGAGAAAGCTGCAGGAAACAGGTTTACCCACGGTAGAACATGATGAAAATGACAGATTTTATGTCCCCTGCCATGTCAATGAAACGCAACCACTGAGCTGAGCAGCCTTGAAGGAAGAACACACAGCCTTCTCAGCCATTCCAAGTCAGTAACACACGTGCAGCGTGAGCCTTGGGATTTCTCCAAACAACATGATTTATAGCAGTATCTTTGTGGGACACTGCTCAGTCATTGCAGGATTTGTACATTTTTCTGACTCGATTGAGGTTTTTGGAAAGACTGTTTAAAATGAAACCCACATCATATCAAGCAATTAGTCAGAGAACAGTCATCACATTCTCAACTTGTTCCTTCTCCACCTCCTGCGTGGTCGTAGGCAGGTTGAGCCAAGCCGACTGCAGAGTGACAGCGGATCTTCTGTCCACGCAGCACGAAGCATGTTAAATCCCCGACCCCCCACCTCCACACATATCGAATCCACGGCCCTCGCATTTTCTCCGTCTACTTTCACTCCTCGACGGCAAATGCCCTTGCACACTCTTAACTCCCTCCTTCTTTTTATCCATTAGGACGAAGGCCACTCCCACCCCCCACCTCTCCATGGGGGCCTCTTTGTAACTGTCGAGGAACCCTTTTCACTTTTTGTTCTGCGGGCCTTCCCGGGTCCTTTCTCTGTTGATATTCACACCATCTGCCAGCAGCGTAAGGAAGGTGAACACAGACCCTCCCAGCACTGAGACATAAACATCTCCAGGGTCGGGGTCCCCGCTTTCGTCTTTGCACACGGCACTAAAAACACAGCTTTAACAACTGGTATGCTGCAACCAAAACAGGTTTTTGCAGCCATCCAGGGACCGAGTTACTGCGGCCTCACCCCTTGTTTGCAGTGGTACGTCCTGCTAAGTCCCCCCCCCCAAACCATCCCCAATAGAAGTGGCTGTAAAGAATCACTCAAGCCGCACTAAGCAGCTGCCTGTGAGTTAGGTCATTTTCCCAGGAGCCACAGAGTGGGCATTGGCAGGACCTCAAAAAGAGGGGACACCATCTGTTCGGCGCCTGAAAAGGTTGGTGACACCTTCTGTGGTACCAACAACTTCTAATTAAGTGGCCAGGAATGCAGGAGCAGCTCCCTCCGCGTGATTGGTCGGCTAGCCTTAGTTATCCTGACTGCAGTTTCACTCACCTCTCTATCACATCTGGGCTAATGAAAAATGAAGAAGTGGAGACAATAAACACTTGATGAAGGTGACACAACAAAACAAGGGGGTTTTGTTTTCGGCTTGGTTTGTTTTTTCACCAGGATTACATAAAAATGACTGGGCCAATTGTTATAACATTTGTTGGGAAGGTGAAGAAAAATTAAGAAAGAACCCATTATTGGATATGGATGCTTTTGAATCCGACTCATGGGGATGATACAAAAACAATGTTTTAAATATGTAAGATTGGGCATTTTAATGGCCCATTGCCTTGCTGTAGGTCTACGCTTCCTGAGTGTATTTCTACTTCCTTTTAATTATTATATTCTTTTGTCCCCTTTTTGTACCACTTAATTGAATGTTTATCGGGTAGCATTGAAAACTGCTTTAGCCCCATGGTCAATCCCAGCGTGGTTTGTTGCTGTTGTATCATGACGCGCTAATTTCATTAAAATCAGGAATTAAATGAAAGAACAAATGGACTTAACATTCGTCTGATTTCCATCGCTCCTACAGCCAAATCTGCTGCTCAGAAATGTTACTAATTAGGCTTATTAAGTAATTAAGAAGAGGTCTTAATTATATCTGCGCCACTGGGACCTGCACGGCACTAACCATGAAATGCTGTGCCGCGCTGCTCCGCTTTATTGGCTGAATATGAATGTGTGCCTTTAAAAATAAAAAATAAATATGGAATACATTTTTAAGGCAGTATTAGGCAAATATCTATCTCACGTGAAATTGCAGAGGTAGAAACACTCAGCAGCCTTCAACAGCGCAGACTCAAAATGTCAAGTGAATTACCTAGCAAAGAGTTAAAAGTTTAATGAAATATATTGCGGGGAGGAAAATGAGGGGTTTGGCACAGGCATGGTTTTAGTCTCAGGAGAATGGGCACCAAACGGCCCTCTTAGTCTCCACAGCCATCAGTCAAAGCAGCAGCCACCCGTCCCCTTCTCTCACACAAGGAGACTTCTCTGGAAGCCGCGATGATCTATACCCCATGACCTCACTCTCAGTGTCCAACATATTTTGATTTGTAGCTTGAGTGTTATTCAAACACAAATTCAAAAGAGGATGAAATTCAGCAGAGAGCTTTTTGTTGGACGCACACCAAGGTACATTCCTTTTAAGATGTCTCTGCCCCTTGTGGGGGAAGAGAGCTGGGGGGGGGGGTGGGATTGGTGCGGAGAGAGAGGATTGAGTAAGCGCGGTGCTACAGGCCCGGCATCAGATACCCTCCCACTGCCTTTATTTCCCTTTGGACAAAGCAAACAACTGAACCGGGAACCTTTGTTTGCCTCTTCAAAGGCACATTTTTGATGCCATTTCACTAAATGTGGAACAATGTAACAATCAAAAACAAAAGTCTGTTTTGTTTAAATGACATCTGCGTCATGATTGCTCAGCATGGAAGCCACACATAGATCAAAAGCTCTGTATTCCACATGCAATGTAAAATAAAACACCTTTGGATTGAGGTCAGTTTAAGACATGTTGGCACTGTGGAAAAGACCATTCAGTGTGGATCAAATCCATCAACATGTAAAGTGAACCTCGCTTACATATAATGAGCGTAACCTAGTTTAGGTTAATACAATCTCTAGAGCGCTACATCTAAACTTGTTTGTTGGGATTTGAGTGTTCGCGAGAGAATAATTATATCATTATAATCTGCTATTTGTCCATTGTTTTACTGCTGGGGTTGC